CAAAAATTTCTTATTTTTGCGAATAAACGAAACTTTAGCAGTTCCATTTTTTCAAATGAGCTAGCATGCCATATTTCATGAACTGATTGATTCAACTTCAATTCATCTGTAAATCTTCTGAAGCTAGTGCTTATATGAGCTCTCCGTTAGGTTTCCATATATGATCTGTATTTCTATTTATCGTATTCTCTTTTAGTTACCCGAGATTTTGATAATATGTATAAAACTTGGCGCGTTGAACACTTGTGCATCCACACGCGGCTTATAGGTATCCCTACACGATGAAGAGTAAAAGGAGAGCAAGATATGCTCCACTCGTTACAATACCTGCTCAAAAAGTTTTTTGAAAATGAGTAGTAGACACTGAAACGAACGATCTTTATTATTTTCGTTTATTGTTTTTAGCTTGGCCGCCAATGGATCGATTTTCAGAACCTACGGTTTTTAGTTTTTGGCAGAGCAGTAAGCTTGTGTCAAAATTTCATCAATGCTTTCTGAGTTATTCCGGCGCCAATGATTAGCGGACAGAGACAGACCGACGAAAAAAGGCTATTGACCTTTTTACACCTACTTTCACTAATTTGCTCTTGATCCCAATCGCCCATTCACTTCGCAGAAACCAATCGACTCTATTCCAGGTAAGATACGTAAGATGCGTTTGCTAAATTAATTTTTATATTTTAGATAAATATCAACCTTGAAGACGTAAGATTCCCAAAGGAACAGTATAAAGAGCTCCAATCTCACATATTTCCAGAACAGAATCGAAGTACTAATAAATAATAAGTCATATTTGAATGCATTTTCAACTCAATATCAATCTTAAAACATACAATCCAAAGAAGCAGTATAAGCAGCTTCGATCTATCTGCGCAAGTTGATATATTTCCAGATTAGGATAGAAGGACTAATAATATTAAGGAATGCGAGAACTGTCTGGATGTACTATATGTGATTAGCAACAGTGACAACTCTTATAAGCCATGCTATAATAAAGTTAGAAAAGAGTACAATCAATTATTAGCGGATGCCAGATATAAGTCATATCAAATATACATAGAGGAGTCGGACAATAAGTCAAAATGTGTTTGGGGTATTGTAAAGGACATAAAAGATCAAACTAGAAATGATTGTGTCATACCAGGTGATCCTGAAATTATTTCTTTTTATATTCGGACATGGCATCAGTCATCTGTGGGTAAAATTAAATTATTTAAATAAGACAGAAAATCCAGCAGCTGTATATTAAAAATATGTTTTGATTTTTCCGAAAACATTCCATAATTCGAACATCTTCTTGCAACAATTAGCTCGAATTACGGAGATTGCACTGTTATTATATTACCGATTCCTAGAATTTTCAAAAAGAAACTATTGAGGAGTACTCGTGTAATTTTGCATGATTGAATATTTAACTACTAATAACTAAAGTCATGATTGGCGTAATTTATCTATCTTTGCTAACTACGAGTATAAAACTAAAATTTAATAAAAAATAATGTACTTACTTTTCTCCAGCACTCTCAAACAAAATAACACTGACTCACTATAATTTGTGTGATATACTATCTGTTTATATTTTTTAAAATATTTTCTTAGCACTTTCCTTTTCAAGATTCAGGAAACGAATAAACGTATTTGTCCCACATTCGTATTTATAGAGTGACGAATTGAACAAGTCAGTGCAGGGTAGCGAAGCTCTGAGACTGCGACTCTCAGGTTTTTACAAGTTCAAAATGTATTGCGGCCACAAAGCGAATACCAACAGCCTAAAACTTACACAATTTTATAAACATATACTTTATAAGTACTTTTATAAATGTATATGTTTTGATATTATAAGATAGTATGATGTAAGTAAATAGGTACTATCAGTGTATGTGTGTAGACCCCTTGCAGGTTGTCATAGACCCCTAGGGGTCGATATCGACCACTTTGGGAATCAATGCTATATACTATATTAAACATGCAGACTGTATATGTACTTACTACGGGAAGCGTGACTACTCAGTGCTTTTCAAAAAAGTCCCTCTGCTTTACATCTCTTTCAATAACTTTGCTGCTTTTTCTCATTCTCATTCAATCTTCATTTTAGTTCTTCATCATTTTTTTTTTCGGAAAAAAGATCGTTATTTATGACCCCCACAGTGAGCCATTTCGTCGGTCTGTCTGTCCGCTAATCCTATAACATCCTATCACTTGGGCTCGGTTTTCAACAAAATTTGTAGACAATGTTGCTACAATGCCTAGTAGGTACGCATAATTTAGTTTTTGAGAATTGAAAAATATCGCTCAAACATCGTTTCTTCACGTTTCAGACGAACAAACTGGCAACAAACAGTGTGTTTGTTTCTAAGGCTGTTTCCATTTTCAGTTCGTTTCTCACACAAATATTGACAGTGGACTGAATTGTACATCTAATTGCATCCTGTGTCCATCCTAAAGTCGGTGCAACTTTTAACGATGTTAACGATTTTCAGTTCGGAGACTGTGTGAATAAGATTTTGATATCCATAAGTTGTAACAAGAAGTTGTAACTGGTCGTACATCCAGTGACAATATTCACACACAGATGACCGCCAATGTATACTCTAATATTCTAATACTTCCTCAGCTATAGTTATTACCATCTCTGCGTCTCACAGATTGTGACACATAAAAGTGCTTTCTACAATGCCAATGACGTAAGGGCTTTATAGTTTTTGGAAATCGGGCAAGTGGCCGCGGAGAAAGAGACCTAAACCAAAAAAAAGTAAAAATCATTCAAACATTGCTTTTTCGCGTTTCAGACGAACAAACTTTCAACAAACAGTTTGTGGGACTGTTCACTTATAACGCCGTTTCCATTTTCATTTCGTTTCTCACACAGTGGACTAAAATTATGCATCTAATTGCAACCTGTATACCTAAGATTGTGAGCACAGTTGAAACTCTCTGACTGCCGGCAATCTATGACACTACATCGATGGATTCTTCTAACGATGTCTTCGTTTTTCAGTTCGGAGATTATGTCTCTAAAATTTTGATATACATATCAGTCATACATCTAGATACAACCTCTTTACAAAAATTGGGGAGCCTAAACATTAATGTTTGTATAACAACGATAAAATATTACAAAAAACGTACCTTTCCGGTATTTTCTCTTCTATCGTTGTGTACACTTCCCAACTTGAAGACTGTGTCTGACAGATTGTGTTGCACAGGATGTGCAACTAATATTATAGATACACTCTGTGTGCCTGTCAGACTGGATATCATAAGCTGGTGTGACAATCGATGTCCAGACAAGCAATCCTCTAATAGTTCTATAGAGTCATTCCATTTCTTGGGTTCGAAGAGTGTGTCTCATGGAGTATGTTACCAAGAAGCTGTAACTGGTCATCCAGTGACAGTGTTCTCAGTATCAAAAATAGTGAGACTGAACGGATAAATGTCAATGTATATTCTAATACTTCCTCATCTGTAGTTATATCCGTCTCTGTGCCTCACAGAATGTGGCACATAAAAGTGGCGTCAAAAAAAGTAAAATTATTCATAAAGTTGCACCACTTAGTGCACAAACACTCGGTAAGACTACATACCGACTAACGTTGTCCAGAAAAAGTTGTTCTCATCCTTCATATCGGTGCAGCTAGTCTTATACCGGTGAATTTGAATATTAATGTGCTAAAATGATAATGGATTACTAAAGACACAACGTTTTGATATTGTCTCTTTTATCGTTACTTTAATTTTTCATTTCGGAGACTGCGTCTCACAGAGTCTTGTACACAGAAAGTGCAACTTAACAGCCGGTGCACACAGACGTATTTTGACGGAGCGGTAACGCAACGTCGACGTTGCGTCGCCGCAGACAGTGTTTTTGAGATAAGTTCACACGAGCCTACAATAACGCATGCAGTTACCAAGATGGATTTTGATCATGAAAACTGTGATTTATTTGCATATTACGTATATAAGTATCATATTTGTAAAAAGAAAAGAAAACATGGGTACACCCTTATGTGAGTGTCCGTTCATTAAAGGGAGCATTTCTTCGTGATTTTTCGGATCTGAGAAACCACGTGGAAAATATCTCCAATTTATTTAGAATGAGTTCTACATCGTTTGACGAATTACAATTACATGATGTCTCCTCACTTCTTTAATCAATATTTCAGTGTCTATATCAAAGTCCGCCATTTCTGTCGGAACGTCGAAATGTCGTAGCGGCGAAGCAAGTCATCGCACGTCTGGAACACTGGACGTCACGTCGACGTCCTCTGCTTGAAAGTCTGTGAGACTGTGTTGCGGCGACGCAGAATTACCAAAGGTACATACTTTTTCGACATTTTCTCTTCTATCTTATCTATATTTTTCGTTTCGGTGACTGCATTTTACAAATTCCGGATCACAGAAGCTGCAGCTCAAGTCATTTATCAGAAACTTACATCAAAATATACTAAGTGACATATAAATAATATATTTTTTGTTACCATGTAGAACAACAATCTACCCTCACGTTTGAGGACCCCGACTCCTCCCGGAGCTAGATGTTGGGCACAAAGTTCCTCCAGGCCGCCGTATTTTTGCTTGAAATTGTGAGCTTTACCATCAGAAACTTTCTTATCTTGTTTAACTATACTATACCTAAATATGTTAGCGATGCCTCGTGACATTTTCAGATCTTGCGAAACACAATGTCCCAACGAGTAATCTAGTGGAGCAGTGAATAAATCTGCTCTAACTTCCTCGTAATCGCAGTAGTGGTACACACCTTAAATAGTGTTGTGTTGCTCTATTTGCTTGAATCTTTTATATTAACAATAAGGATTTATTACAGATATCTCAAGTGTTCCGATTATACAACGATAACTTTGCATGAGAGCGCACGCGATGGTTGACGCATCTCCAATAGAAGCATATTATATTTCGTATTGCCGCTCTCGAATTACAAAGTAACCACTTGTAGTAGCAATTTTTCCCGCTCGCACCAGCACGAAGTTCAAAGCAAAAATATGCTCCCCGCCCCTGCCCATACCCGGCATAGACCGGTACCTGATCTCCTCTACCAAGACTCGTCACTGCAATTTTTCGTGCGCTCGCAGCAGGACGGAGAGAAAGATGGGTCGCGTAACAAAGAAAGTGACGCGTAAACACAGAAAAAAATTACACAAATTGCTGCAACTTTTAGATAGTTCAAGTAAGTATATGGTAATTAATTGTTCCCTTCTGTTTTAGCCCCAATTCATTCAATGAAAACATAAGTACACATGTGCTATGTGCCTATCAGGTTCCTGTTTATTATTGATATTCAGTATTCACATGAATTACTAGTATTAATTAAAATGGTTGATTAATTTCAATGTGCCCCTCGGATATACATGTACACATGTACTATGTACCGATTAAACACTTCTTGATATACAGTATTCACATGAATTACTGGCATGAATAGTTGATTGTTTTCAAAATACATCTCGGGTATGCGTATGTACACATGTGCTATGCACCGAAAGGCGACTTCTTGACTTACAGTATTCACATGAATTACTGTTGGCAATGTTATTGTCATATTGGTATTGAATACATAGTATGTAACTCTTTCAAAACAAAGCTGCCGGATAGTGTTTATAAACATCTGAAAATGTTTTTTAGGTGAGTCAGACATCTCGTCGTTGGAGAGTACAGGGACGGACTCGGATTCAGATGCGCCCTTATCAAAGCATCCAACGCAAGTCCCGGAGCCTGGCTCATCCCAGGATCAGGGTGTACAAAATATGCTACAATTCCTGGGTAATCAAGCATCTGCTATAAAAGGACCAGAGGTCAGTACAGACGTAGCAGCCCTGATATCTGAGTTTTTACTCAAGGGAATTGATAAAGAATCTCGCAAAACTACTCTGGAATCTTATCCCTGTTTGGCAAACTGTCCAGCCCTTCAGCCTCCAATGATTAACCCAGAGGTTTGATCTTGTTTAAGTACAAATGCAGTTAAAGAGGATACATTCCTCAGTAAACTTCAATTACAGTTAGCATCTGGAATAAGTGCACTGGCCGTCGGCTTCGATAAGTAATATGAAAAAAAAAAAAACGAAATCGAATTCTACAGACCAAACACGAGCTGATTTGGAAAGATGCTGTGCTCCACTAAAAATAATCGCAGATGTTTTTCACGCGATTTCTCTTCATCGTCGTTATTCCATTCTACCATTTTTGGATGGCAGCGTTCGCAAATTTTCTGATACTTGCCCAATTGATGAATTTTTATTTGGAAAAACATTCCCGGACCAATGGAAATCCGCAAGTGAAGCTCAGCGATTTGGATTTTCAATCAAGAAGAAGGAAAAAGCCCTAGGATCAGCATCTCCCAAACCACTCGTCTATAAGAAATTGGAGCCCAAGCCAGGTCCGTCGAGGGTCCCGTCGTCTTTAAACTCCCGGCGCCAGCAACACAAATCTCGCATGAAAAAGGGGGAGGAGAGGTTTCGTTCAGCAAGGTCATACCGGAAGCAGTAGACAAGGTACATACTCTTTGCGATATGTATGCGGGTCGCTTATCTGCATATGTAAATAAGTGGGCAAACATTACACAAGATTCTACTATTATTTCGTGGTTATCTGGATATAAAATGCCGTTTGTTAAGAAACCTAAGCAAAGGCGTTTACCTAGACCTGCTTTTACGCTGCAGGAATCAGGTAAATTGAAGGATAGCATAAGACTTTTGATAAACATAGGAGCAGTATCCAAAACTACCTCAAAACCTGGCCAGTTTTTGTCCTCATTTTTCTTAATACCGAAACCTTGTGGGGCATTCAGGTTTATTCTAAATTTAAAGGAATTAAACGAATTTTTAGAACCACCCCACTTTAAATTGGAAGATTTCAGGGCTGTCTTTAAATTGGTTTATAATTACTGTTTCTTCACTAAAATAGATTTAAAAGATGCCTATTTTATGATACCGGTGCATCAGACATTCAGAAAATACCTCACTTTTAAATTTCAAGGTGTTTATTACCATTTTAATTGTTTACCTTTTGGTCTTTGTACAGCCCCATGGGTCTTTACAAAAATTATGAAACCAATCCTTAAATATTTAAGGACTAGAGGTATAATTTGTGTACTGTATTTAGATGACTTATTAATTATCAGTAAGTCAATACAAACAGCTGAGCAAGACTGTCAAATTGCTAAGGATATTTTAGAATATTTAGGATCCTTAGTAAATTACGACAAAAAAATCGGTGTTCTGTTTTAGTCTCAGCTCAGTTAATAGGAAAACTAGTTTCCGTTTGCCCGACTGTACAATATGGTTGGATGCACCTTAAGATTTTACAACGAGTTAAATATGTAACATTAAAAAGACACGAGCAAAATTTCAATACCTCAGTAATAATTTCAGAAATAATGCGATCAGAAATATGTTGGTGGCATCACACTCTTATAAATAATGAAGGTGTAGCTATTGTTACAGATAGGAAATTCATACTTGAGATTTTCTCAGATGCTTCATTAACTGGTTGGGGTGCCTTTTGTCAGAATAGAGGTACTAACGGTTTTTGGAATGTGGACGATGCTCACAGACACATTAACTATTTGGAGTTACTAGCCGCATTTGATGCACTTAAATCCTTTGCCTCCAATATATCTTCTTGTTCAATTCTTCTTAGAATCGACAATGTAACGGCTATAGCTTGCATAAATCATATGGGTAGTGTAAGATATAAGCACCTTAATAACATCACACGCCAGATTTGGGAATGGTGTGAGAATAGACAAATTTTCATAGTAGCTTCATATATAAATACAACAGATAATTTATATGCAGATAGATTATCTCGCTCGAAATCTATCAACCTAGAATATGAGTTATCGAGTTTGGCTTTTCGAGAAATTTGTTCTAGTTTCGGGAAACCGACTGTGGATTTATTTGCGACACAGCTAAATGCCAAAGTTCCTAGGTATATTTCTTGGAAACCAGATCCTAGTTCCTTTACAGTTGATGCATTTACAGTGTCTTGGAGAAAAGAGTTTTTTTTTATGCGTTTCCTCCTTTCGCACTCATATCAAAATGCCTACAAAAAATTATTGCTGAACATGCTTGTGGAATTCTTGTGGTTCCTAATTGGACAACTCAACCGTGGTATTCCGTTTTCCATAAATTATTGACAGGAAGATCTATAATCTTTTCGCCTAATAAAGCCCTTCTCTCTTCCCCTTCTAGGGGATGCCATCCACTGTGGAGAACACTTTCCCTGGAGGCTGGGAGTTTATCGGGGAAGCTTTTCTCAGACGAGGAGTGCCAGAAAACGGGCTCCAAGCAATCAAGGCATCGCTTAGTCCATCTACCTTGAGACAGTATTCATCGAAATTAAAAAAGTGGTGGCAATTTTGTATAAGCAAAGGCTATATTCCTTTTTTTGTATTCATTAGACGCAGTCATTAATTTTTTGAGTGATCAGTTTCAAAACAATTGTTCCTACTCAACACTTAACTCACAGTATGCGGCATTAGCTTTGATTTTTGAGATAAATAGCTCAGATAAAACTATTCTAAAACGGTTTCTTAAAGGAATTTTCAATCAGAGACCGTCAAGACCTAAGTATCAATCAACTTGGGATCCTCAACCAGTTTTAGAGTACTTATCTACCTTGCATCCCTTAACAGAAATATCTGTTATGCAATTGACTATGAAGTTAGTTACTTTGTTGGCTTTAATTACTGGCCATCGATTACAAACGTTCACTTATATACGATTACAAAATATAGTTCGCCATATTGATAGAATAGAAATTAACATTACGGATCGAATCAAAACTTTATCTTCCAAGGATCTTCAACCCCTTTTAGTGATCCCATATTTTCGGGAAAACCCAAGCCTTTGTTTAGCCTCATCTATCGATTTCTATGAAACAAAAACCAGAGGCATACGCCCACTTGATACTGATTTTCTAATTTTAACAGTTAAGAGACCTATTCGCCCAGTCTCTACACAGAAATTTAGTAAATGGATCAAACTGACCCTTCAAGCAGGCGGTATTGATACCTTTATATTTTCTAATTATAGCACTAGGCATGCAGCTACATCTGCAGCCTATAGAACTGGAGTCTCTATTGAAATGATAAGAGAGAGGGCTGGTTGGACGCAAAAATCAGAAATATTTGCTAAGTTTTATAATCGCCCTCTTTGTAGTGATGTTACAGCCTTTGCTAAAGGTATCTTGAGTTTAAGCTCAGTTTAATATATATTTTTTTTATGGATTAATAGAGTTTGATCAAATTCTATACTACTTTTTGAAGAGAGAGTAGTGAACTGTTCATAATATAATAATTTGTATTAGAAAATAGTATTATGGAATTGTTTTGTTTAGATTGCTCTATTAGATCTTTACGAAATAAATATGGTGCCATGATCCCGATTCGGACTCTTCTTTGAACATCTACAAGTGGTTACTTTGTAATTCGAGAGCGGCAATACGAAATATAATTAATTGTTCAATTGACTTACCTTAAGGAAGATTGAACCATATTATATGAGTATTGCCGCTCGAAGAATTACAAACCCACCCATTGTTTTTCATCCCTCCCACTGTTCCGATCGGGATTAGCTGCGTAAATTGCAGTGACGAGTCTTGGTAGAAGAGATCAGGTACCGGTCTATGCCGGGTATGGGCAGGGGCGGGGAGCATATTTTTGCTTTGAACTTCGTACTGGTGCGAGCGGGAAAAATTGCTACTACAAGTGGTTACTTTGTAATTCTTCGAGCGGCAATACTCATATAATATGGTTCAATTTTCCTTAAGGTAAGTCAATTGAACAATTAATTATTACACCTTGAGATATACATGTCTATACCCTGGTACCGAAAAGGAAGAGAACCTGCAGTAGCGTGCAATGTGTTTTTCTGCTGTTCCTTTTCCGTACCCGAATATAAAATAATAAGGTGCCTAACACCTACTACCCTATACAAGGCAGATGCGTAACGATCGTATATGGCTAGCAGGTGTTACGAACACTCAGGGACGAACAGTTATGAATAATAGAAACTATAACCACAATTAGTTAGAAGTACCTGCCCCGTCCCTCCCCCATCCCTCCCCCATCCCTAATTCTCTCACAAAATATATATTTTGTCAAAATGCCATTAGTACTTTTCGAGTTACAGGGGGTCAAACATCAGACGACATAAATATGTTATGACAGACAAACATCCAAAATACGCATTATCTGAAGTTCGAAATTTTTCGCGATAATGTTTTCCCGCCTACTTTCACAGAAAGTAAAATATTGGAACCGAACCTTTTTTCTGATACCATATTTAATATGTGTGTCCTTCGTATAGAGAGTACAAACCCAACAACAAAATCAAATATATACTTGAATTTTTTGGAACGCTGAGAGTGATAATTTTTCACATGAAAAACTTTGCACTCTGCCGCCCTTGTATGAATTCGACGAAGAAAGATCGACTGCCATTTAGATGGCTGTATAGTGACTAATTACGTCGAAAACTACCCGGTAGCTTTGCCGTGAGAGTAACACCCCGAATTTGTAAGACTTGTGACACTCAAGCAAGACAAACAACATTATTTTCAATAACACAGAACAAACCCAAAAAATAACTCACAAAAATATACTTACATTATGAGGATTTTCAATTCTAACTGCACTACACAGTCACAATAACAACCTCCGATTATTTTTTATTTGTTGAATGCACCCGCTCAGTGCTGTAGACCCCAAAGCGTTGCGCTGCTGCCAAATTGTTAGTCCCGTCCGTCTTGGAATAGGAGAATCGTATAGCTGTTCTCAGCCGTTGGATGCATTGTTTATAACATTTTTCTATTGTAAATAAATGACACAAAGAGGACAGTAGAAAGACATAAAATACAGTATACATGAACAGTGCCACAAAATTGACGCCAGGGTAGTGACAAATACGTAGGTACACGACCTCCAAAAAAAAATCAAGGTACATTAATAGTCTATTATATATTGTATGCAATTCATGACTTTTATTAAAAAAACGTTGCTTTTGACACAGTTGTAGCAATGTACCATTGAAATACACAAAGATATACTTATCAGGGTAAATACTGAAACCACTGGTTAATAGGATACCTGCCGAGTCCACGTAAGACTGATGCGTTCCTGGCTACAGCAGGCCAAATCGTGATAGTTTCAAAACATCATTTGACTTCCTACGCATTGATGGCCATTGAAGGTCAAAGTCCGAAATGGTCATATTTCCAGGGAAATGTGCAATTATTAGGAGAGGGAGACACATCTTTCACGGACCACTAAAAAAATTTTGGTATCTCGTTTCATGAAAACATGTTATAATGTGCATTTGGCAATACAAAGAGTTTTTGTATATTGTTATGCTAGTTATGAATACAGAGATTTGTTGATGACTGTAGTCTGTAGTGACACTTGGGAATGGAGCACGTCAGGGGAGTACTCGTATAGGTACATCTTGTTAATTTTCAAGAACATTGAGTCTACATCTTCATGGTTACCTCAATATCATCATATTTTCCGAATCATGCATAAGATGTTCCACTATTTGGATGGTTTATTTTCATCATTTTGCTGATTTGCTTATGATTTTTTTTTGTGGAACATTTGAACCCCGAAACTGCATACGCACCCATATACTGCATATATATCTACGTCAAAAATTCATTCGTAAAGAACCACCCGTTTCATTGATGCATACGTTTGTGGCAGCCATACGTAACGCACATAGCAGAATAGGTGAAAAGAGGGAAAGTATGTTCAAATGAGTATAGTGAAATGGTAGGTAGTATGAAGCACCGAATTGATAGATTAGAAGCAGGCAGACCTATATCTGTACCTCAGAGCCAGACTAGGTTAAGTCCAAATAAGTAGTTTTGAGATAATTGTATTTGAAATAGTTTTCTTGCATTGTATTGTATGCGAATTGACATGAGTTAAAACGTCGTAATGTCATTATTACAGATAGATAGACGCTGCATGTAGCAAATGAAAATTCACAATATTATCATAAGCTTAACATATTGAAATCATTTTTGACAAAAAGGGACTTAACCTAGTCTGGCTCTGGGGTACAGATATGCTTAAAGTGGTTTGTCGAAAATATTGCGTAGTTCCAATGCATACTGTTGACTTCTTTGTCTACCAACGTCCACCAAAGTGACTACGTTCTATCAGCATAATAATAATAGGAGGAAATATACTCAGTGACATTAGAAGTGTTACACCCAGAAAAAGTAATTTCTTCAACTTGTTTTTTGGCAACATAATGACTATATTTAAAGCATGCCGTAATAGAAATGCCAACGTTTTATCTTTGTTTTATTTACCTTTGTTAAAATGTTATCTCTTAGTTTTTGTGAAGAAAGAAGTTGAATTTATCACCATGTTAGCGACTTTGACAGAGGTAGAATTATTGCCTATCGAGATGTTGGTTTCTCCTATCGCGAAATTGGTCGCCGTGTTAATAGTCCTGCACTGACGGTAATGCGTGTGTCTCATGTGTGGATAGAAGAAGGTAGAGGAACACGAAGAACTGGTCCAACGAAAAGTACCACAGAGCGTCAAGATAAGCATATCGGACAACTAGCTCTACGAGACCGTTTTGCTACAACGCGTCAGATCACTGACCAATGGTTTGAACAAGAAGGTATACCTGTTACTATGCATACACTGTGACTGCGGACCACTGACGTCAAGGTTTGAGTTGGAGCAGAGAACGATAACATTGGGAGGCAGAATGACATAATATCATCTTCAGCTACAAATCGTGATCCTATATAGTTACGAACGATGGTCGTAGAAGGGTAAGACGCCGCCGTTTAGGTCGGCGTGATATTGGATTTGCTGTTGAGAGGCATGTATGCATGACTGTTGGAGTAATGGTTTGGGGGGCTGTTGCCTATGGTAGCCCTTCTCTTTGTACAAGGCGCGTTATGCTGCTATGATGTCCTACAAACCACTTTACTGCGGTATTCAAAGGTCCGTCCACACGTCCTTTTCCAGCAAGACAACGCACGTCCCCATATTGCTCTCGTACTACGGACTCCCTTCAATAAGCAGGCGTTAATGTTCTGCCATGGCCACGCCGTTCACCGGATTTAAATCCCAACGAACATGTGTGGGATATGATGAGGAGGATACTATCCAGTTTGCCCCAACCGCCACAGACCGTGCTACAACTGATCCACCAAGTTCGAGTTGCTTGAAGTGAGTTGCCACAACCAGACATCGATCATCTCATTTTGTTGATGCCTAGACGTATACAGGATTGTATTCAGCTGCGAGGGCGCTCAATACATTATTTTTTCTTCTTATTACTTATGAGTAAAATGTCGTGAAGAATGTTATCAATCATTCTTGATGTAAGACTACCTCATTGCCAAAAAATCAGGTTGAAAAAATTATTTTTTCTGGGTGTAACACTTCTACCTTCAACTTCATTAGGCTTGTGCTGCTTTTTGCAAATTATGTAAAAAGTAGCATGTCTTGAAATCGTCTAACACCCAAAGTATCTGCAAACACTCGCACTGCTTAAAAAAACAACACTAAAACTACGGAATTCATGTTAGAACTGTCACAAAATGGACTTATGTCAAATGCGCTTTCATTCCTACTACAGACTATCAGAATCAGTAGACAAGCAAAACCTTGACTGGCTTCTTTTACCGAGTCAAATTCTTAACTCAATCTTTACGGATAGCTAAAAACGCCAATATTATTATATTGAATATCGCATATCTCAGGCACAGTTCCGTTGAAATTTTGCAGGATAGCATGGTTATTTAAAAGTAATGTAAGAGTAGACGGGCCGAACTCGATTTTCTCACTTTTTTGTTTTGTATCGAAATCAACACCTCTTAAGCAGAATATTGAAATGATTGACTATGTACAAAATAAGGCAATGAAAAGTGCTAATAAATTATCAAAACACATGTTCCTAATATACTAAGTGACATATAAATCCGAACACCCAGTTTAAATGGTTTTATTTTAATAAAAGTTGGTGAATGTATTTATCTTACTGTAAATAACAAGTGAAAAAATTTTCAGCCTTATCAGTTGGACATTCCGGTTTTTATACTGCTTTTTTTTAATTCACTAACGCTCTAAAAATGAATATTTCAGCC